AGCATCTGTTATTATCATTTGAAGATATCTCTTTTTATATGATACTTGAAAATGAGAAAAACATTGATTTACCTTTACAACGTTTAATAGTGATTTACTTTCAATTTTTATTTTCTTTGAAAAGAAAGCATTAGTATGGAAGACCTTAACAAAAATTTACACTACAAGATAATATTTTTCTGCTTATATTTCTGTGCTGTGACTGAACTCACAAAAACGAAAGATGGCCATTTAATATGCAGAATTCTCAAAAATTTTTTGAAATGTTTTTCAGTTGTGATCTCTGTATTACATGCCGTAGTTTGCATATCCATGGTAATGCATATGACAGCGAGTTATACTGCAATCGAAGTAGCATCTGTTATTTTACATGTAGTGACTTTTATTCACCGATGTATGTTGTGCTGGAAATTTCCACGCCTTAGGGAAATTCTTGGAAACATATCTCGGCTTCAAATCGAACCAGGGCAGCATCCAGAGCAGTGGGTGAAGTACTGGGCAGTTTTGGATCTGCTGTTCCTCCTGACTGCCTGTGGATTGTCTATGAAAGTAATCTTGGACCACATACATCACCCTATTTTTCACATGGTGTACTTTGGAGTACCTAGGGAAGACACTTTCTACAGCAAAATATTCGCCCTTGCTATCAATATCAATATAGTTACCTTTGGACGCCTACCTGTTTACATTTTTATCGTGTATTACGTTTTTATTTGCAGTTACTTAAAATGCTCAATAGTCAAGTTTAAAAACTCCATAACCTTAAATAACAGAGTAGATCTGAACATTTATATCGAAAATTATAACTGCATTAACACTATGATAGCTAAAATCGACGACAGTCTATCAGCACTGGTCTTTTTCGCAACGCTGTTCAACGGCGCCATAATGTACATGGCCCTGGCTTTGGTACAGTACCCGAGACCTTTCGGTGAAGCATCGCACGGCTTTGTTGTTTTCTTTGTGTTCATCTCCAGGTTACTAGCGTTCATTGCCATGAGCTTTTCGGCTGTTAGTGTGTCAAACGCCGCTAAAAGTGTGAGTGTCAAAGCCCAGCTGCTTCCAGAACCTGAGAGAAATACAACAGCAACATACCTACGTTTTCTGCACGTTATGAATAAGGACATTTTTCTGACTGTTTGGGGAATCTTGCCTTTGAGTAAAAGTTTCATTTTGGGCATCCTCGGCACCATTCTCACTTACTGCATTCTTTTAGAAAACTTGAAAACTCCTGTTATGCCACAGTAACATACTTCTGCTTCTTTCGTCTGCTGAAAAATAAAGTTGAATAAACGTTGAACTCTAAAACGGGATTCTTTTCAACTTTAGCTGATTTTAGAGTTCTTTAAAAATTATATTTAAAGAAGTTAGAGTAACAAGAATTAGCATAATATTCATAAATTTGCAGGGCTAGTTTCAAAGGTTTAAATATAGAATCTTCTGCTTCGGCTGCATAAGTGCAAATCGGTATAATCGCTATTTATAGTGTTATTTTAGTAGAAATTGTTTTTAAGTATATGAATGAATTTTGTGTAGTCTAGGTGGAATATGAAAACATTGCAAAAAGTATTCATTCTTTAATCTATCAATTCGAAATATATGAAGAATAAATTTAGTTATATAACAGATTCTCTCTTTTTTATGTGCCTCGAACAAATGAGACTATGCCTTGTTTCAAAAACTTTTATTTACTTGAATGTTATAGAATATGTTATTTTTATTATGAGTTAATAATACTTCTGAGCAGCATTATATCGAAAAGGAAATGAAATTAAAGACTATCTAGAATTCATGTAATTTATGAATAGAAATTTATATTTGATGCATGTTTGCGCTAATATATAAAAACCTTAACCTTTATTAAATTTATGTTTAAAAAATTTTGTAACTATTCAGCATAAACCGAAAACAGAATGTGTGATTTTTTATTTAAAAAAGGGGAGTATTCTTCTCCCTTTTACTGTATATGACAAAGTTTTAGATTGAATTGAAGGCAATGTTAATAATGATTGAAGGCAATGTTAGTATTTGTGTTTATTTCGGATTTCTTTGATATTTATCTTTCTTTGCTAAATACAGAATGCATTTAAATGATATTTCCTGTTAAGTATCAGAAAACAGCCAGCGAATGTTTACGGTAAAAAGAAATAATCGACAAGAAGAATAATTCTTTAATTTTATTTGATCCAAATTTCTTTCTATAAAAAAATTCTTACACTTATACTTATTGTTAATTGAACTCCAAGCACAATAAAATAGTTCGTATGTATTATTTTTTAGTCTCTCTTAGCAGATGTGAAATTTATGCTTGCATAGGGCAGTCTATTAAAAAGGCTACTGTAGTTTACTGTCGATTAGCATGCTAGCCGTATTAAAAACTTAATTTTACTTTAAGAATATTTACTTTATATTCAGGATTCATTTAACTGCGTAATTCAAGAAGCCTTATTGTTTACCTGTTTTGGAGGCAAAAGTGCTTGAAATGTTAAAAAAAAATGACAGTTTATGATTTTAATACATGAAATCTATAAAACTCTTTAAAATAAAGAGAAAAAGATGAGATAGAGAGAGGGAACAACTCTTCATAGACAGTTTTAATAACATGCAAAATGAAATAATTCTCATTAAGTAAAGTAATAATTACTGAACACTTGAAGCTGTTACAAGTTGTTGTTTGAAATAGTTGAAATATGCTTGTGCTCTAATTATATGAAAACATTTGAAAAATTATTAATTTGCTATGTCTAAGAAACTTTTAAATCGACAGTGATGTCAAAAAAAGTGTTGCAAAAACACGCCAGCATTTTTTTTTTTTTCATTTTAATCAAACTAAGTATCAAATACATAATGAGTATCAATCTTAATTTATTCGTTACTGTATAATAAAAAGCCTCTGATCTCGTTACCAAATAAATGTCTTATTTTTCAGGGTACGAAAACTGATCGGGATATTTCATTTCGAAATTTGCAGTTTTTAGTTTTATTTTCAACTTCTTTTGAGTCATCGGTTAATTAAGTTACAACAATTCGGGAAAATAAGCTTCAATGAAGTGCAGCAAAAAGTGTGTATGATTTAATCAGCCATAAAAGGAGGTCATATGGTGGCCACATCAGATTTATTTCCCTGCAGAAATTTTTTAAAGATTAGTAATACACTACAATGGAAAGCAGCCTGGAAGATTAATGTTAGAATTTATGCTTCAACCAATAATCCGTTTCACAAATGCATTTCAACAGGTTAGTTAAGAAAGAAAAGAACATTTTGCTGTACCATCCCTACATCTTGGGCTGAAGCATATAAGGAGTGGAAAAAAGGAAGCTGTATGAGCTTTCTAGTTGAAAAACATTCATATCGGTTTTGTGGTTTTTTTTTTTTTTTTTTTTCTTTTCCATGAATTTTCATGGAAGAATGAATGCTAGAGCCTCAAGGAGCTTGGATTTCTATTTACACCCCACTTTTAGAGAGCCCCCCCCAGGGTGGTGCTCTGAAGGGTCTCTCAGTCCTCTCCCCTAACACCAATCCACACGAGAGGAGTTAAAGTGCCCCCATACCGCAAAGACACTATACATTTACAAACATCCAGGCCTTCTCTGGGGTTCAAACCCGGGCCGTTTGGTACCACTGTAACGTCTGGGAAGCAGAATGTATGGTACTTTCCTTCACTGAGTTCTAAACAAAACACTCTACATGTCGAACGTTATTGCAGTAGTTATTTTGTGGCTTACACATCTATCTATTTTAATGCTTTTCCATGTTGAAGTTGTTTCGAAAGTAATGTGGATATTGAATTTCATAGTTACTTTCAAAATTTGCACTTTTGGATGTCATTTTCAACATGCCTCCAAGGATCGGTCATTCAAGTTAGAATAATTTGAGGAAATAAGTTTAAATGAAGTGCAGGAAAAAAAATTTGCTTAATTTAATAGGCCTGCAAGGACGACATATGGTGACCATATCAGATTTTTATGAATGTTTTTCGTGAAAATGAGGAGATTCCAAAATGTGATTAAAAGTCTCGTTTTGTAACTAGAGCTTTTCCTTGCAATCGTTAGTGTTTACATTACTAATGTTTTTCACACTTTTGATTAAGTGCGTTTAGAAGTCACAAATGTTTTTTTTTAAATGCAAATAAAATTTCTAAAGTTATTATATTTTCTTTGAAGCAGGAATGTGTGGAAAATGAGCAATGCCCTCGGACCAATGGACTCGAAGCTCCGACAGCTCGAATACACGTCCAGTGTGCTACCGTTACCCACGAAAGCATGCTGGAAGAAGAAGGAAAATACCTTATTTTCTTATTTAGAGAAAAGTCCGGAATGTCGCCACTTATTATTTGAACAGACTAGTAATATCGAATGAATGCATTGTTTTACATGTTTCCTGAAAATGTTAAGTCATCTGAAGGTATATTTTCATAACATTTCAATCATGTTGTAGAGACATTAAGTTATATCAATGCAGGAATGTGAAAATGTGCAGTACCTTTGCCGAGATTCGAGCTCCGAACCTCCCGAATACACGTCAAGTGTGCTTGTAGTGAACCAGATATGTATGCGGAAAAAAATAAAAAAGTAGCTTATAATGTTATTAAAATAGTAACACTGTAACAAATTCTATGTATAAATCCGAATTTTGTTCTTTTAATTATCTCTCTTTTTCTGAAGAAATTATCATAAATGATCATTTACAGTATATCATAATATTCCATATGACCGTTATCCAATCACAGACTGTTACAGTCTTATAAAGGCAGAATATATTTACACTTTACTTCAAGGCCAAAGTGTTAATCATTTTTCTTTATTAAATATTTATGCTTCAAATGAGCACGTCTTTTTAGTAAATCATAAATAAGATTTTTCACATAAATGGAAATCAGCGAAAACTTTTTATCTTGTAGTTGGGTTTTTATGCAAATTTCATAGTTTCGTGTATTTTCACTCCTCAAATTAAAACTATATTTCAAAAAATCAATTGATTAATAATACCAAACAAGAAGTTATATCACAGTATTTATTTCTCTAGTAATGAATCGTATCAACAATTTCAATACTTATTTACGTGATATATATATATATAACCTTAATCTCACTTTATTCCAAATTTTTAACAGTTGATGAAACATTTATTAATGATGTCCATGATGGTGGCCATGATCTTGGTGATGATGATATTGAGCGTTGGAGTGAAGATGCACATGAGCTGGATCCTGATTGGCTGTTCCCGGCTCATTTGTCTTCACCTGAGCCCGGAAGCCATGGTGATCGGCGACGTAATGGACTTCTCGGTGAACTCCTCGGTGGTCTGTGAAACCATAACTTCCTTGGACATGGCCACTACCATCACCACTCTCTTTTCTGTACTGAGAACCATGATGATCTTTTATGTCGTAGCCGAAATGATATGGCTGGGGATGGTGATGGTGATGCTAGAAAAAACTCGAACTTAAAAACTAAGCAATACATTTTATTTTCTACATTTTTAGAGAGTTTTGATTGTTTTTACGAAAATTTACTATTTACGAACTAGGCGCTGCTGGTAGGTAAGCAACGAGATTCTACATATAGAAACTATCGATTTTTCATTGAATTAACTTACCTTCTTACCCAAACATCTCAATACACACTGAAAGCACATTACTTTGCTGTTACTAATGCATTGCCTGTTTTTAATTTCTTAGATTGCATTAAAGAATCATTTTTATTTTGCAAAATCAGATTTGAAATCTCTTTTAAAACGTAACCGATATTTACAAATTGTTATCAAAGACTTTTACTCTAAAAAGAATGTTGCCATATTCAAAATCTAAGCAAAAACTAAAGCGAAATCTGATATTAATTATACGGGCAAATAAATAATGCTGATTGCCAAAATAACTATTATAAATTTATTTCTTCTCTTCATGTATATGATCGTCTTTTGAAATGAATACTATGATTACATTTAACAGTAAAAATTGCAATTTTTGAACTAGACAACAAATTATGCACAAAAAATAATTAAATAAGAAACATTTAATAGTCACCATTACTGCACTAATGCTAATAGATAAACTAAGCCTGTTATCTAAAGAACATATTTTGCATTCTGAAAAAATCCTATTGTGTCGAGCGTAGCAGAAAAACGACGCCATCAACATAATGTGTTTTTTCTTTTGCGCACAAAAATCGCACTTTTGAATAATTACGCTTAAAAAGCGGCAAAATGCGACTTTTAATTTTAACAATGTTCGCAATGAAAAGTAGTGTTTCTTATAAATGTAGATAGTACCAAATTTAAGAAAGGAAACAAAATATCTTTTCATAATAAAATATCTTCAAAATTTTTATTCGTGATCCATTAACAATTTAGGATACATTTTAGTTTATAATTTCAAGCTTCTTTCTGAATATAACATTAAATACTGTAAATTTTAAATTGATCTTAATAAGGGGCTGATCATACTGATCCACTGGTTTCAAGAAGCACCGTAAATTATAACCTCTTTTCTGATTTGCCATAAAAATTATAAAACTGCAGTCGCAGAAATTAAAAAATTTTCATTCGAAATTCTATGATATTGCTTTTCATATTTATGAAAGAAGGAAATGCTTTGAGAAGGTAGCTTATTTTCAAAATTAAATAGGGCTATGTGGAAAATTTCAAGATCAAAAATAGGAAGTATAAAGGTAACCCAGATTACATATTAATTATTTCAGAATGTTATTATCCTTAACATTTGAATTTACTTGGTATTTCCTCCATAAATAGTATGGTTATTTCACTTTTTATACAATTAAATATTATAATAGACATTATATTATCAAATTGCATAAAATTTTATTTTGTTGAAATGTTTAAATAAGAAAGGCTTGATAAGTAAATGTAAATTTTTCTAGTTAATTTCTTATATAGTCAGTTTCATTTCTGGTAATTAATAAAATAGCTAATTATAATAATTTCAGTTTTAAAGTGAAAAACTTAATTTAAAGTAATATAAGTATAAAAAGAACTTATTTCTGAAATGTGAATTCTAATTTTTAAAGCTATCTCTATTATTTGTTTACTCTGAAGCGCATACTTTCCAGAATGTTGTTCTTATTTTCATTAAATAATGATGTATAGTAAGTAAATATATATATATATACTTTCATAAAAAATCAATATGTCTTTGATATTTGTCACTGGAAAATTTCAATAGCAACTGCTTCTTTCAAATTAATGTTAGTTGAATTGTCTTAGTTATATTTATTTAATATTATCTAAACACGAAGATAAGTCTGTTAATTTTCATACTGTATTAAGAGAAAAAACAAATTTCTAAATGAATTTCAGTGAATGACATCTTGTCCGGGAGAAAAATGTTTTGAAGTCGTAAAATCAGGCAATTATACTACCATTGTTTCAGGAAATAATGCTTTAATTACTTTGATCATTTTTCACATTTTGAAATTTCTTGTATTTTAGTAGGTAGATAAGTCTAAAAGACGTAAAAAGAAATCTTCAAAAGCTCATTTACAAAAAGTTTTCAAACAAACGTCGTGTACTCTGGATACGAAGCTAATAATCTAGGATAATATGCCATCACGTTTGATTCTCATATGACTGCTTGCCCGCTCGTCGGCCAAATTGAGGTTTCTGATGAACAATCTATCTGCAATATATCGATGATGCTTACAAATTAGAAATTGTTACATCAACTGAAGAATTTGCTTCAGTCTTTGCTTGCTTTAACTGCGATTAGAGGATTTGAAACAAACCTTAAATCAACTAGTTTCTCATATAAAGTTTCTTTAATCAAGTGCAAAAAAGCATGCGAAAGCTGTCCGCTGTAAGAGACGCCATCATGAAGACCACCGAAAGAGAACTAACTTGTCATCACGATACCGGATAGAGCAATCCACTATCACCCAAGCAGTCATTCCTTTCACGGGAATGCTAGAGTTCAGCGATTTTATCCAATCGTCCATTAGTCTACCCTTGTCATGAGAAAGAAAGTGTCTATTTATTTAGTTACCATTTTTAAATTATCCATTTTAATGGCCAGGCATTATAGGTATTTTATGCTCTGGTAAGTTATCCATTTTAATGTTCACTGGTTAATAATTAGGGATAGTATTAAACGACTTCTTATGTTATTTCGATCCTCTCAAATAATAATAAATAATAAAATTTGTGCTTGCGGCACGTTACTTCTCATTTTATTCTAAAATGGACAAAGTGTTTAAGAAGCCAGAAGAGGGTTTCCCAGATCGAAACCTTCTTAAAATGAATTATTTTTTAGGCCTATACTTTTGATAGGGAAATACCGCAATTTAAAAATGTGAATCATGCTCAAATGAATGACACTCAGTGTGAAAACAAAACCTAAAACAACCACGTCAAAGTGTATCAAAATTCAAGATACTGTTGATGGTTTTCTTCAATCGTCGTGTTATTGTGCATCATGAGTTTCTATCAAGTGACCTAACTATTAAAATAGAACATGATTTGAGTTATTTTGTGACATTTAAGTAAATCATTTGGTAAAACATGGCTTGAATTCTGGATATACAGCTCATGAATTTTACACCACGATAATTTACTTGCTTATAATGAATGTCAGTTGGTGAATTTCGGTTAGTTTAATCATGTACGATAATTATGATAATTTATTATCATAACCGTGGTAATCTACGATAGTTATGATAATTTATTACCAGTCTACTTACACAGCAAACAGTGGTAGTTTCTTTTATGTAAAGCATTCCATGCAGATGCAGAGAAATTGATACAATTTTCCATTATGATCTAGAAGTTACTAATGATTCTATAGCTGTCCAGGTACTGATTTAGCATGATAAAACATATCTTTTTTTTATAAAGTTTGCCCAAAAACATACCTACTAAATTGATCAATAGCTCTGAGAATTCCTTTTGTTTTCCTGTGATTAATGAAAAACGATAAGAATTTCTCTTCTCTTCCAAAATTGTCAAAGAATAACTCTAGATTTTCCTTTTGTGTAGTAAAACTTTATGTGCACAATTTGAAGGAACCCGAAAGTATTCAACTTCGTAATTTAAATATATGTGTAATCCACTGGAGCATGACAACTGATAAAGAGGATTGATATTTAGTTTTAATACCAGTTTCGATGCTGTTGTGCATTAGTTCGTAAAACTACCATTCAGCAATTAACATGCATTTCAAATAAAAAATCCTATACTTACGTAGTCGTGACCATGATGATTTGCTATTGCTGCAACAGCCAGAGTACTGATGAGAAAAATCTGAAAATAATAATAAAAGGCTTTTAGTCATAAGAATGTTTGATTGCAGAAAACAAATTATTATTTCTATGGAAAACAATATGCATCTAAGCTGCATTAGTTTATATACTGTATGGTAATATGCACTTGTTGGCAGTAAATATTATACCATATATAATTGATATATCATACTTCATTTACAATGTAATAAATGTAAATTTCAGTGCTGATATTTTGTCAGAACGCATTGCCCTTCGAAAGGACAAATGATATACTTCCTCCGAAAATTATTACAGAAGTTTTGAAAACAGATTATACACATTTAGCCTTTAGCAAAAGATAATACATAGCTAAAAGCAGTATTTTAATAATAAAGTAGAGTACATTTCGAATTTAATTTCCAGTGGGCTTTCATTTACAATATAGGTCTGCAATCCTTTAATATTTTTAGAAGAAATGTCCAGTAACATATCAATTATATGAAATGTTTTCTTTTTATTTCTAGCGCATGTTTTACTTGATTTGGAACTGGTAATTAGTCCAATAAACTCAAAAGACGTAATGCTAATCCTCACTATGTCTGTAATAACTACAAAATTGTGAGAAGGTTTAGAAAAATTTTGCGTTTAAACAGACTTTGGAATATAAATGCACCCTCTTGTGCTAACAATATCAGCCACAGCTCGTTGCAATGTAACTAAACAGAGCAGTAATAAATAAATCACACGTGTTACAGTAGTCAGAGCCTACGAAATTTAAATGATACTCGAAGCTGGCTACCGGAGCATCAAAATCAAATTGTTCGCAGAGAATATAACTCAAATCCGAATAATTTCACCTATTACAGCTGCCGGGAACTAAACGTGGCATGCAGGCACAGGACGCACAGACATGCTCTGTCTTAAAATCCAAAAACCACATTTTAACTATTAGATATCGTATTTGCATTCTGATCAGGAATACGGAAAGGAGAAGTTAGAGTAAAGATCCAAATCATAATAACTGGTTAGTTTAAAATGATAACCTTACATACTTTTCGTCCTTTTGAGATATATTTTGAATTTAAAAAAACTGAGATATATCTCCTGCGATAATACTTTATAGACACTAATATAGTAGAAAATATTTATAATTGAGAAAGAGAAAAAAAAAGTAAATAATCTTCTAAGTTTATCTCAAAAATCCATGCAGATATATATTTATGCACAAATTTCTGATCTGAAATACAGCTATTGTCAATAATACCTTGAACATCATGATGTTTTGCACTGAAAATTCTGAAAATCTCACAGTTGATGTCTGAGAAAAGGAGGTGATTGAATGCGATTTCATACCGCAATGGGTGTTAATATATATTTGAAAAGTGCCTGGTATAGATAGGAACGATGTCGGAATGGTGCGACATTCCTTTCATTCGGGCCCTTCGAAGAATATTAGGTCAAAAACAAGTCTTGCCAAACTACCAGATATCTCATTTATTCAAGCATTTATTCAAGATCACAAAGCAAAAAAAAAAAAAAAGGTATCGGAAGTTTAAAAAAATCTAGGTGTCTATTCATCTACATTTTGACAAGTTTCTCGCAATGTACATTAGATAAGATTGATTTGAATAAGAGTAAATTAAATACCTCTCCATCTGTGAAGCGCTCTTGTTTAAAAGTTCAGAATATTATTTCTGAACTGTACTTATCATGAATGTTAGATTTCCGCATGGCTTTTCACTTTTTCGACAGTTTTAATTTGAGAAATTGAAACTTTTAAATTGAGTCGTAATAAAGTGTTTCAGTGTTTTGATGTATTCCATACTAATTTCGTTTAAAATTTTAAAGGTAAATTGGTAATAAAATGTTGACGGAGAATTGCAGCTAATGAATTTTATCCTTTCATAAGTAACAAGCATAAATTCTCCCATTAACTCGTTTAAGTGGAAAAATTATTTCAACAAATTACACAGTCGCAAAAATTCAGGCATGAAAATAAAAAAATAAAAAAAAAACATTTTTTTTTTAATCCAACCACTAATATTGCCGTAAATGTGTCTGATAAGGCTGAGCTTATAGGTCTTTATTTTAAGGAGTAATATTAAAAAAATGATAACGACAGGAAGCTAACAATATATGCACTAAATATACTCTTTGAAAAATTTTTATCATAGTTAAGCCTTTTTGACGGGGTCCGTTTTACTTCAAGTTTATATAATTTATCTCTAAACAGAATATCTAAACATTTGAGAAAATATTTTAAGAAATTTCTAATGCAATATTCCGCAGAAATAAATATTGTGGATAAGATCGTGTAAATACAATATAAAAGTCTTTCGCTGAATCTCGTATATTGCCTCTCTTTCGTAAGAGATACTGTGATGTGCCTGAATTTAGTTTCTGTCACTGGTCAGATAACTGAAATTTCTACTGCTTTATTTAAATTATAAATACCTTTGTGGGAATCTTTTTAGGAGCGCTGCTTTACATTCTGTTACAATTTCGGTATGTAACGTTACGGTTTTACGTCTTTATCATCCGCAGCTTTACCAACAAATCCACGACTTTAACAAACGTTACTCAACAAATGTTTACAATCCCTGACTTTAACAAATGTTACCAATGAACACTATTTCTCAGCCGTACACACTGGTGACTGAAAATTCACAGGTCATCAGTAGATAGTGGCCTTGAGAGTCACAGATGTCATTTACTTACGGTCAGTAGTTTTCTTCACTTTCATTTAGTTTTAACAATATATCTAAATGTACTGCCCTACCCACACATGTTGCCTTATGGTTGATCAAAAGTAACCGCAAGGCACCAAATGACTGGCTCTTCAGTCACCAGTAACCAAGTGTTTGATGGGCACCGGTGTCTATCGATTTAATTTCCTTTTTGAAATTTATTCAAATTTACTTTACTACCTCATAGTGGACACTCTTGATTTGGCATTAACTGACCCCTCCAGCTGTAGGTACCAATGACCAAGGCACAATTGCGCACCGTCAATTTTAATTTTAAATTGTATTTAAATTTGCCCCACAGCATCACAACAATAATGCCCTAATTGACTCTAAGTAATTTTCAATCCGTAAGTCACCAATGACAACTATTCTAAAGAGTGCCAGTGTGCTTTAATTTAATTTTGATTTAATTTTAATTTAAATATTTATCTGAACTTCATTGCCTGGCATTGGTCACCTATGGTTTCCTCCCAGAAGACCCTTAACCTATAAATTATTGGTGACCAGCAGTTTTGAAAGGCACCAGTATTCTTAAATTATTCCTTAATTGACTCAGAGTGATTTTCAATGTATAAGTCACCATTGACAACAGCCCTGGCGAGTGCCAGTGTAATTTTAATTTTAATTTTAATTTCATTTCAACTTAAATATTTATCTAAACTTCACTACCTGGCATTGGTCACCTATGGATTGACACTAGGAGACCCTTGCAAATTATCGGTGACCAGCAGCTTCGAAAGGCACCAGTTTCCTTAGAATATTCCTTAATTGACTTAGAGTGATTTTAAAACCGTAAGTCATCAATGACCACAGCATTGTCGAGTGCCAGTGTACTTTGATTTAATTTAAATATTTATCTAAACTTCACTTCCTGGCATTGGTCACCTATGGTATGATCCCAGGAGACTCTTAACCTATAAATTATTGGTCACCTGCGGTTTTTAAAGGCACCAGTGTCCTTCGATTAAATTTTACTTTATAAAATCTGTCTAAATTTTTAATTCATTGCTTCAAACTCATGAAATACGGGTAGATTCAAGTCTTTATTTACCTCCACGTTACCGTTGACAACAGTCTTAATGTACGCTACTGTCATTCAGTTTAACTTACAAATATATCTAACTTAGTGCAACATAATACTTATTTAACATATAAGTTGATCAAAAAATATTAGCAGTTACCCTTTGACCAGAACCAGTAAGCATTATTTCAATTTTAATTTTTCCTACATGTGCCAGACTACCCGACACCGGTTGTAAAGTCATTAAGATTATTTCGGATCAGGAAGCACGAAAAATCAGTGATGCCCTCACCTAGATTCGAATTGCGGGCATTTCGATTGCCAGCCGGACGAGCTGCCAATTACACCATGAAAGTCTTTATATTTTCATCCACATAAAGGGCAACTACAGGAGGAGCAGACCACGCCGCAAAATCCAGATGGCGATGAACATCGACCGTTACGTTTGAGCTCAGGAACCACTGGTAAAATCTTCTATATATGTTTTAGCTTGAAACTTGAGAATATCAGTTATTGTCCTCGCCAGGGTTTAGCTAACTCAAAGTACTTCCTATGAAGCATGGGGTAAAAAAGGAGAAAATTCCTTCTGCAGTTACGTATGGATTACCTCTAATATTCCTCGACCTGAGTAACAAGGGAAAGGAGAAAATTCCTTATACAGTTACATACGTATTATTTCTAATATTCCTCAATCTTAGTGACAAGGAAAAGGAGAAAATTCCTTATACAGTTATATATGGATTACCTCTAATATTCCTTCAATCTGAGTAACGGGGAAAAGAAGAAAATTCTTAATATTTCTCAATAAATTCTCTAATATTCCTCAATCTGAGTCACAAAGAAAAGGAGAAAATTCCTTATACAGTTACATATGGATTACTTCTATTATTCCTCAATCTGAATAACAAGGAAAAGATTCCTTGTATAGTTACATATGATTACCTCCAATATTCCTCAATCTGAGTAACATGCTTAATGGACTCCAATATATTTGACTGAAGTGTAATTTAAAATGGTATTCAAGTTTAGTGAATTGTTCCACGCAAGGAGCTATTTATGAGGCAAGTGCCAGCCGACCAGTATATAACTGGTGATCAACACATATGACAATCATCTTCGAGTTAATTTTTCTTAAATAATCTGTTTAAAAATATAATGTTCAATACATATGATTCATAATATATATATCCAGTTAATTTTTTGAACTTATGAGCCTCTAAGCATTATTTGAATTAATGAAACATATTTCTACGTCATGTATTCTGTGCATGGAACAGAATACGGTGAGTTTAATATATCCTTCTGGCTCTCTCACTAGCTTTTGTTAAACTGTATACTACTTTGGTATAAGAATATATTATGAGATAATCCAAAACTTCTTAAATTTGGTAGTTAAAATAGTTATGTGATTCAAAACAACATATTACATAAGCATTAAATCTTCCGTTCATCTTATTTAGTGGAACACGGAATCAGAGCAATAATAACTAAAAGGAAAAAGAAAAGAAATCGGCTACAGATTGACCAGGGATATTTGAGAAAAAATTTCGGCGTAAGGTTTCTTAATGGATCTAATGCACAGAGAACTTACGATAGCTTGATGTAATTTATTTCACCAAAAGAAACACTTCACAGTCTGGAACTTTGCACAAAAATATTCGTACAGCACTTCACAGTATCGCACAGTACAATCAGTTGCACTTCTAACTATTAAGAATGTTAAACACAACTCAATGCAAAGGGCATCTAAAGAGCAAAACTAATACGGAGATATCTCAGAGAAATCTCTAGTACATTCCACTTCTCGAAATTACTGGAGATATATGAGGGCAGTATACGGTAACAGTTACATATAGGGACATTTATTAAATCACAATATCAATTTCAGTTGTACAGTGACTGGACCAAAATATCGCCAAATGGTCTCCAAATTTGGCATAACTATAACGATAACTACTTGCAATAATTGAAGATGAGAGTAGACCTTATAAATCATTAAAATGCATAATATGAAATGTTTATGAAGTTTACTGGATGATAGATTTAACAGAGATCTTGTCCATTGATATAAAAGAAAAATTTGAAAATTAATGGTTCTTTTCATTAAACTAGGTTTCCCTTTTTTAGGAGGCTGGGGGGGGGGCTTCCATGAGTGATCTCTCTTAATAGTACTGAAGCAATAAAATGTTTAATCTATTCGTAGTGAAATAAGAATTCTCGATTTGTATCCTTTAGGAACGTTAAAGGCTTCCTTTTAACATTAAAGGTTCCTTAAACGTCCTTCCTGAAACGGTAAAGGATTCCTTTTAAAGTCTGGGGATCATTACGTTCCACTTAAAAGGATTCTTTGAAAAACATTTTAATAAGATAATATCCAGGTATCGAACCAAAGAACATCTAAATGCTACCTGAATATGTGACCACTGCATCTCAAGTTACTTGTGAGAGGAATGGATTTAATTTCTTAAAAGTTTAATCATAATTTCAATTAATTTACCGTGTATTTTAGATGAATGATTTCATCATCACAAACGAGAAATTGACCCAAGAATATTCGTAAAACATAATGTAAATCATGGTGCACG